CCCACTTGCTCCAAATTGGGCAGTGCCCCGGCGAGACCAAAAAAGTCGTAAATTGGGGGCTAGTTCGACATCTTGAAATAAATGTCAGTGAACCACCGTGGACGCATACAGGTGTTGGGGCAAGTGGATGTTATTTGGTATATCCTTCACTCCTCATGTCATCATGAGAGACCAGCAAATCAATAGGGAGTAAAGCGTTACTGTCTTAGCAAACCAACCGATGAGAGAAATCGACAGATTAACCCTGAAACCGTTACATATAGGAACTATTTCAGACCTGGGGGTAGAGGACAGCATGATAAGCAGCGTCAATAAGAAGATGAAAACATATGAAGTACAAGGGATTTCAGCTACATTCCCTAACAAGAAACTACATGACAGCTGTCAGCTCTCCTGTAGTTAATTGCACTCGATACAATCCACAGTTTTTGGAACAGCTGAGAGAGACGCCCTCTGCATTTAGCAGCTCTTACGATTCCAAACTTACCGCAACGTGGTTCGAGGTTCTTAGTGTTTTAACCTTTATTCATGAGGTCTGGAAACCTAATGGCAAATGAACCAGGTGGAAACCACACATTGTCACCCAGGCCTTGAGTTGCATCACCGGTTATCTCTACTCGAGTTACTCAAATAAGGACGAAAACGGCATGAGGAACGTCGAAGAGATCACCAGAGTTTCAGTTTACTTGGAAGTAGTTTAAGCAGTTTTGCCTTAGAATGGAATTACCGTGACCTGTAATGGTCTGCCTCAAGTAGTCAGTACTGTTAAGGAGCCGGTCGCAAAAATGACGAACATGTTTGAGGTATCTTTACTTATTTGAAAACGCAAACCCCGGGTGTACTCTTTAAAAGGAACTTCGTGGCAGTCCTCAAGTGCCTTGTCAACAGTAATTCATCAACTCCTTGAAAGGGTAGAACCCTCGACCCTCTCTTTACTGGATTCTTCGCGGGCGGATGGAGCACACAATGCTGAGGACCTCCGAAAGACCAAGACGGCTGTACGATGTGGTTCCGGATGAATGGAAGATGGTTAACTAAGTTTAACTGTGATGAACTCCTTTCGCTCTTTACTCGCATCCATAACGATTGCCTCAAACATATCGTGTTTGATGTCTAACGAACTCCCCATAGTACTTAACTGAATCCACCGATCCAACCAACTCCTAACATGCTCGGCTGAGGTAGAAGGTTAAATGCAGACTCAATTTACTCGAATAGTCGGCAAGTAATGAGTTATCTCATGTCTCTGTGGCAATTGTGCAGTTCGACACTAATTTACCTCAATGAAGCTACCACAAGGCGTTCTGTACTGACAGGTTCCACTTCCCATACTAAGTGCTCCAGGCAATAGAGCCGCAACGGCGCACCAGTTACAACTGGGTTAGCGGTATCCTGATTGCGCCATATGTGGCTCAAACGCCATCGAATAGCATCCGCCCCCCAACATCGTCACACTTGTTCATCGCATGGACTCCGGTGACCATCTCCGTGGGCCACAGTGACGAAATTACCACCGGGGGCGCAAGTTGCACAACCGGTCGCGGCATGCCGGACACCACCTGTCAAGTATTGCTACAACACATTGGGTAATTACAGATCTGCGTACGCTCACATTTCATCCACACGAGCGTGACAGTCGGCATGACGACAAATACAGGTAGATCTACAAAACTGAATCAAAATTCACTGCGATTAACACGGATATCTGATCAGGTTGACCCGCTAGTTCAAGTGAACGGGTGTTTGAGTCATTATTAGAAGAGATTGGGGAACTCACTGATGTTTAGTATACTTAAAGGTACGCAATAAAAAACACCTGTTAAACCGCTGCTATTATTAAGTTTATTCTAGCCCCAATGAACCCACTAGACAGTCTTAGTTTTAAGGCAAATAAGAGGGCTTTCTCTCTGATAGATGAAGGTTATGGATCCTCGGAAGAGGTCATGGATTTGCTCGTTCATCTCCCTATGACTGACGGGCAGACAATGAAGCCCCGACGAGCACTCCTGTACGACGATCAGTGGTCACTGGTATATTGTGGACAAGAGGATCCGAAATTAAACATGTCCTACGGGATGGTGGTTGAGGGTTCTCATAGAAAAAAAGACAAGTATAACAGCGAACCCGAAACAGTGAACTTACCGAGCAAATGTCTGTCAGTCGGAATAGTGCACATATGGTTTTCCGAAACTTGAATTATCACCAGTTTTGGTTCTCCCAGGTAAACTGGTGTGAGGTGATGCTCTTTGGTCTCCTGAATGTGCGTATGGTTGATGTGTCCTATATGATATGGTAAAATGGGATCAGTACATTTCCGATACGATCTCAGGACACGGCTAATGTGGGAGCTAAACTAAGAGCTTCTGAGAGGCAATTTCATGTATGTCAAATATGTGGTGAAGAGAAATCCTGTTTAAACTACAGTCTGTCGCATTGTTTTGCCGGGTTAAGACGGTGGTATCTCAGTCTATTGTTATACCTGAGCTTTAGCAGCTGATTGCATGAGTGAATAGGGTTGTTTAAAATTTGACAAACCATGCTAAGGTTGTCGCGATTGTACATTTCTTTCTTCCCTATTGTACTTTCCTATTCTGATTTCCACTATTATTCTACAGTTTTATTTTAATTGACCAGCAACCGATAAAAGACATTTTCGGGCTTCGATTCGCCTGCTGGTTGCGACTACGCGTGTTGTGGTGTTAATCGCCGTCTGCCTGCTAGCGTCGTTCATCGATCATCGGATCTAACGCGTCGACTAATTTTCGTCTTCCGACCGGATTATGCGATCAACTGACGGTCTACAGAGGATCGTGCTTTACCGAAGGTCAGGTTAAGAATCCTTATTTTACAGACTGGGAGTTCTTTTACGTAATTAAACCCTTTTTGTTTAACCTTTCCACAACAAGGTCACCACTCAAAGATCGATAGTGTCCATTGAAAACTCGCTAGACAGTCGCTTTTGGTGATACGACGTTGCGGGTTCTCCGAAACATCGAGAGCCAACTTCTGCCATGCCTGAATCACGTATTCCACGTTATGGCGTATGTATGCAGAAAGTGGTTGGGAGAAGATCGAAAAGTCGAAGCAAAGAAATCTCTCCTTAGGATCCCGAAGTTTTGGTGATTTTATTGCCGCCATTTCAGATTGCTCTGAACAACCCAGATCCACCTGGATCAGCGGGCGGAGATTATGGCGCACAAGGTATAGCTATGAGTTCTTTGGCGTCGTAGTTGTTGCACTCGATATTTTAAACCAAATTACCAGGCTCTGCTGATGAGTGAACTGGCGCACCACCACCACCACAGTGAACTCTGTGTCGCTGCGTCCAGCTGCTCTGCCGGTGCAGAAGCAGAGCCAAATCCCAAGCAAAGAGCATTCATAGTGCATACAGTGGACACCGTAAGCCCGTAGCGAGTGTGCCCAGAACAGACTGAGGGGCAATAAACTGTTCAAGTCTCCCGCTTGCACCAGCCCGGTGACGCGTCATGATGTCGCTTGGATTCGACTGGTAGTAGTCTTCACCCCGTCTACTAGCACCTAGTTCCCCTGTACCCTAGTTAGTTTAGCAGAAGCATTCTTTATCATCCATAAGACCAAATTCACTTTGAAGCAACCGCAAGGCTGACGTCACACGAACAGCACAATCTTCAGCGGCTGCAATAGGTGATTCGTAACAATGGAAACCATACTATTGGATCGACAACAACGCGTTTCCAAAGATTGAAATCCCCGGTGACTAATTTTTTAACCAATGATCGCTGATCCTGGCAGTTGCCGTGTTATCAGTGAGTAATTAGGGTTCAGCGACGGTGTGTAAGGCTGAGATAATCACTAATTTTGTGGTTGCCACAAATCTCCGTCCTTTGGATGAATGAACCATGAAACGATCGGTGGTTGTTATCTGACGATGCGCCAACTGGAAGCCGCGAACTCATTTACGCTGTCGCCAAGTCGTTCCGCCGACTCGATTTGTGTCAGTCCAGACGATTTACGAGAAAAGTATCATGACTGCAGGACATCAGCCCAGTAATATAAGGTGTATAAACCGCGATAGTGATTACTGACTTTCATATGCAATCAGGATTAGTGGAACCGGTTGGAAAAAGCTGCCTTTGAGATCAGATGCAGTCGGCGTCCAACTACTGAAGGTAAAACGACTCCTTGAGGTTGATCACCAATCGTGCATTGTGTCAATCAAACTCTGTCGATTAGAGTACCGCGGGTGTTCTCCTGTAACTAAAACACCGTACTTGGTTTCTTCCTGGACCCTCGTCTGAGGAGGAGGGAAAAGTACTGAGGTTAACCTCTGACGTAAAGTTTACATAATTCTCCATTTAACTTCTATCTTGAAGTTGGCTCCACGGACGTTAAGTCAAGTTTTCGTTAGAGCTCTTGGTTGGTTATACAAACTAGAAGACTAATTCCGATAGACATATTGCTTCTGGAATTACTGCGAAACAAATGCATGCTATGTTTACTGCCGAGTCTTGGTGAATAAAGACCCGCGTTGTCCTCCACACAGGAAGTAAAGTTCCCAGTTTGATGTTGAATAAAAGAGGATTTCTGTTCAGCATCTTCACGCGTTTGCTGAATCTTCCAAGTAATCCCCAAATGCCTTTCGTCTTTAGCCGCACCTCGTTCCACTGCGTGTGACTGGCCCGTCAGAAGAATTATGGGAGTCGCACCTTCATCTGACTGGGCGCATCGTGGGCTGCAAGCCTCCAGATGAGTCACGGCCAAATTCATGGGTGACTCATGCACACAAAAGCTTGAACCACTAACGTACTACTACGAGATCAATGAATCCGCGTCGTAATGCACAGTGGGTTTTCGCAAAGCAAAAAACTGCGCAACTAATAAAGAACCCTCGAACTGAGTGAAGGCGTGTCGGCATCAAGGAAGCGAAAATATGACCACCTTGCGTTCGCTGATAGCCTAATCACCTGCGGAGTAGAGTCCATCCGGTATTACTTAGAGGATAAGCAGAGCACTAAACTAACTTTTCTGTCTAACGCAAGTATTGTACGCTCCCTGACAGTCCATGTATGGGGAAACCAAGACTGCTTTCCGAATCTGTAGCTTTGAGAAAGCCGAGGTGACAGCGTGAAGAACAAAACAATTTGCTGATTTTAACTGCACATACGGTGGGATCCGGGATGCCTGACGCGAAACACTCAACTGTCGATCACCAGACTGATTGAAATACTTCTGGTCTCGTGTAGAAACGTCAAGTACTCGCTCAATTGTGGCATCTATCAAACCACACTGACGCAGTCCGTCCAGGTTGAGTGTTGGAAGCATGAGTTTAGCCACCAACCGGTGAAGCAAACTGGCGGGTCGGTGGTTCCAGATTGAACCGTGTTGACGGCAAGTTTCCTGACTGCTATGACTTCGGGTTTTGAATATGAATCGATTTTTGTAGGTTTTTATATCCGAAACCTCCTGCAATCATGAAATCCCCGTCGGCTCCACGTTTATTCCGAAATACCTGACGGTTAGGTGATAGGTCGCCTTTCTCCAAAGCTACTCACATGTGGGTAGTTAATGGATCCTTCCCCTAAACCATCGGTACAGTAATCAGCTTGCTGACAATCGTATACGTTATCTGTAGACTCAACTCACATGCGACAGAACGGGGAATTTCGTTTGGTTTAAAGATCACCCTTACGGATTCAAAAGAACTCGAGTTATTTCATTTTCATCTTGCTAAGGTGGATGGACACATGTAATGTTGCGAAGCAACCACACAACGGTAACAAAACTCGAATCAAGCTAATGGAGTGCTCAAATGGGAAATCTTTTTGTTGCTCGGATCATGATCCCCGAAAGAACCTCGCGCCAATTAACATTTATGTTCCTCTGATCGGCCGATGAACTACAGTGGAATGTTTGCATTTTTACGCGTCGGTTAGCCAGCTAAACAATTAACTTGTTCAGTTATGAATTTCGTATTTTCTGCTGAGATTCTAACTGGGGTAGATGCTCAGTGCTTGGAATGATCGAAGCAGTGTGGAGAATATACGAGTTAGTATCTAATACCACAAACCACAGTCACCACCTGAAATTGGCGGACCACATATTACTGACTATAAGCGCACTCTCGTGTGAGCCACGTGTGGGTTAGATTACCCATCGTTGCTCGACGTGCCTGGGATATATTTAAACCATCACAATGTTTTTATCAGTTGGACAGAAACTGGCTATGTGGTATAGACATTCACTCAGCGCACCATGTACATTTTTCGCTTCGATAACGAGGTTGCGGTTTGTTCCATCACCAACGCACAGATGGATAAACACCGCTGGAACCGCTTCACTGTGTTCGGCATAGGAAAAAACAAGGGAATCCCAAAAGTCGATGTGAAACGCCGCGCACCACTTCGACGAAATAACAACCCATCGTTCCGTAGTTGGTGGGTAAATAACGAGTGGACTTTCATAGGGGATATGCTCAGAGAACCGAGCCAAGTCTAATGAGAAATCCCAGTCCTGCTTGCATGTTCCTCACTGAGAGTACAATAAAGGCGCGTGACTATACTCGTCTTGATTAAGTCGAAGACGTAACCCACATAACCAATGCAATTTCTTCGTGTTGTCACAGCTTCAATGTGTGATTCCCGCCAGAGTGGGCTCTGGACACACCATGAGAGAAGATGTGGTCGTTGGGCTGAAAGATACGGTAAAGTGCGGCAGTGGGCTCAGCAGTGAGACCAGGTCATACATAGTATGGCTTGCCCTTCACCGAATGTCGCTTATCTGTTGGTAACTTATGTTAAGAGGCTTCGACCCACGTGTGTTGCTAGGGATACAAGACGGTAATTTTTCCAACCCCTATACTCATAAGGCTGATAAGGCTAAAGCTTCTTGCTGCATGCTGACTAAAGTTCAGTGAGGCGTTAAGCGTAGGGCGCCCCGGGGCCAGTGATGTGAAGTGATAATAGGCTTCGGAGAAACAGACCCAAAGCAACTCAAAGATGCTTTCCAACTTCAGGCAATAGTTGGTTGGAAAATTTCTGCTCTGTTTTATATGAAAGAAGTCTCAAAGTTCGTTATAAAACTCCCGCTGGATAAAAAAGCACGCTTACACAGTACAAACACACAATCACCGTTACCGGCAAGTGCACTCAGTATTTTTCTGATAGCTTTACAGCGATGAACGCTTACATCACGCAGATGTGGTTTATCCAGTGATGCACGATGAATCGGTCCCTATCGCGAAAGGCGGTAGACATCACTTTTCCACCAATAGACTCTTTAAGCCCAATTTTGGACAATTGTACAGCCGACTGGAGTACAGTACACCACTTAGTTGCAGCAAAGACATGTACATATTGAGGAAAACCGATGTTCACAGAAGGATTAGACATGACGCGAACGAAGGCGTGCATCATTTCGGAGTACCAACCTGGTCACTTCAAGTACGAGACATCGCAGCGAGAAATATAGCCGGACTTATTGACTCTTTTTTATCCAGCAGTCCAATCGATTTGCAAAATCCTAGTGATCCCTTAAGTCAACTGGACTGATGACATTTTACCCGAAACCTGTCTAAGTAGCACCATACAGTGAAGTTGAAGTGGGAGTGGAACAATTGGAAAGTCCCGTGTATGTTCCTTCGTGAGTATATCGTAGAACCAGGATGTTAACCAACGGCATTATTTGCACTCTAGGAGAGCCATACCCAAACGCACGAATCACATCATGATCAACCAATTAATGCCCACAATGCCTGCACTAGCAGTCCCCACCGCGCCCGCCGCGTGAAGTAGTAGCAAAGATCCGAGTAGCAGAAAGATGGAACTAAGCGAAAAAAATAGAAGTATGATAACGAAAACAAGTGAAAGCAAAAGTTAGGGTGAGAAAGGAAAGACTTGGAACTGCAATTCAAGGGCATCGAGACTATGCTCAAATTCGTTCACCGTTTGTGATCAGACCATGCCCACAGGTAACTCATTCCAGAAATCAACCATTCTATATGATAGTCGAACATCGGTCCGAATCCCATCAGCTCGCGGTTTGTGCAACTTCGGAGAATGACCGCAGAGAGAGTAGAGCATAAAAATTTAATTCAGGGCCGATCTTCCTTGTCAGTATACGAGAGGTCGGAATCAAGTCGTTATTATGTCAAGGATAATGCATTCTGAGCTAAAGGAGTCATTCTAAACAGGTGCTGTAGTCTTTGAACCATTTTGGTACCAACCTTAAGGACCCACTCCGCTGACATCCTATCACGAACCAAGCATGGTGGACAAGTTTGAACGCAATATTCTGGGTGCGGCCTAACGAAGGTTAGGTATAATCTGAAGAACATTCCCAGTGCGATGATTCCGAATGACCAGCGATCACCCACCGCATTCTGAACCCTTTACCGGCGCCTTTCTTCCAACACGCACAGGACTTGAAATCGGATGACGGAACAACCCCTAGGTCAACCAGCTTGGAAACCTGAGTTACCTCATTTCCTCCACGCAGACAGCATGTGGAGGAATCACTTTACCCTGGGCGTAGGACTGAACACCTATCATAATTAATGGGCACCTGCCAAAAAATAGATAAGTACCAAAATCGGAGTTGGCCACCGGGCACCAAAACTTCAAGTCAAGTGCAAAAAATGAGGAGCAGAACACGCAAATGCATGTCCTTAAGGGACTTAGCATGGAGAGCACACAACGACACCTTGAATTCCGAAACCTGGACTACTTAAGTGGCACAACGTAACTTCTGTGTGAGTTTGATCCGCCAGGACAAGGTGACGCATTAGCAGGGATTAATGAAGGCTTCTGCACGAACGGCAAACTCTTATACAGGCATGTTAATGGCCTTCGTAAGATGCAACGTGCAATTCCAGCACTGATCACTACTGACGGGTGCACGCGATCAACAACGGAAGCAGCCGATCTCTTACGGTTCCATTACTCACAAACGTTCCAGAGTAACGGGCCAAACGGTTATCCCAGTTTCTATTGTCCCACCAACAGCCTTATCCAATATTACTTTTACTGCAGAAAGTGTGTCAAAGAAACACTTGTCCCTGCGTATCCATGGCGTGCCTGAGGTCGATAACATTCGACCGAATGCTTTACAGGCAGCAGCCAGTGATTTGACGGAATCTCTGGCTGTATTCTATCAGTGCTGTATGGAGGAGAAGTGTAGTCCAACAATATTGAAACGAGGCGTCATCACTCCTATTCATAAGGTAGGTAGTCGCACCGACCCAAAAAAGTAACCTCTTATAAGGCTACTCCCTGTACTTTCCAAGCTTATGGAGTCTATCCTCTTTGGTGCACTCATGCAGTATTTGGAAAATTACAGCATGATAGCACCAGAGCAACATAGCTTCTGACAAAAGCACTCATGCACTGCTAACCTGTTAATTGCACGCATTAACTGGACTGAAGCAGTTGATGGTGGAGCATGAGTCGATGTCATTTACCTGGACTTCTCAAAAGCGTTTGATCGCTTAGACCACCGTATTCTCCTCCATAAACTTCAACTCTATGGCGTTGGATAGGCAATTTCCTGCACGAACGTCGGTTGGAAATGAGAATTCGATAATTCCTTTCCGACGCAATTGAAGTGGAGTGCGGCGTATCACAAGGCTCGATGCTGCAGCCCCGTTTATTCTTGATTTTCGTACACAATCTGGCGAGGGAAATTACTTCCGATTTTCTATTTTTCGCTGATGGTATCAAGTTATGGCGAGTGCTGAATGAACCAAACGACCACGAAAAGCTCCAGCGTGACCTCAACATGATTTCAAACTGGTCAGTTCTGAATACACTACCGTTCAAGGTAGTAAAATGTCACGCTGTTCAATTGCGCCATACGCATGACTACTTGTATAAGTTTGGGTCACATGCATTGCAAGCAACTTCCCAATTATGCAGCCTTGGTGTGCTCATTCAAAGTGACCGTAACTGTTCAAAGCAGTCAGAGGCAGCTGCGAAGAGAGCCAATCAGCACGTCGGCTTGCTGCGGAGAGCATTCGGAAGATTCGACCCATCCATCTTCCCCATGGTGCAAAATACTTATTGCCCCCTCATGTTGAATAAGCCATCCAAGCTTGGCAACCTTGGTTGAAGTGTGACTTAGAAGTGCTACAGAAACCACAACGCAGGGCCACAAAGAACGTCAGGGACCTACGAAATCTGTCCTAGCATCAAAGGCTGAAGTCACTAGGAGTTCTCAGTGGCCTCTACCGCAGGCTGCGCGGCGATCTCATATTATTCTACCGAATATCAAGTGAACCTAATCACGTATGCCGTCACTTGCTGAGACTCAGTCATAACACCAATCTCAGA